ACATCCAAACCATCAGCAAACCCACTAGGCTTCATGTCCCAGACATTCAGACTCTGAACGAGTATTCGTAGCCCCATCAGCTTTCACTACCATGAAATCCTCAAACTACTGCCAAAGCCTCTTAACTCACCTGCTTCCATATTTATATACTTGGAGGCTGTTACCTGCATAATATCTAGATGGATAATTTTAAAAATATGATGCCAACTTCTTGCTTTTAATCTTTTAAACACACTTAAAATAAATCCCAAATTTCTTACCACAGTGACAACCGGGCCTTTCTCCACGCCCTCACCCCCTACCACCCTTTCTTCTCCTGAGCACGTGCCAGCCAGCTGATGTCTAACCATGTCAGGTGTGGCCCATATCAATGACTGGAATGTCCCACTCTACCCCTCATTAACATTCATGTGCCTTAATTTACTTTATTTGGATTTCTGGTAAAAATCATGAACTCAGAGAGACCTTCCCCAGGTTAGCCCATCTTTGCTACTCTGTTTGCCAATCCTGCTTCAGTGTCTTCAAAGTACGTAGCACTCCGTGGCTTTGTATCATATACTTAGTGTGTATTTTCTGTCTCAACCACCTGGAAATAAGAGGAGGACATTGTTTTTCTCATCAAATTGTTTCCAGAATCCAGGATAGTGTCCAATATATTATAGATGGTCATTAAATATTTGTTGTCTCAATCAGTGAACATGCCCTATAATGTAACCAATTAGGAAAAAAAATTGCTTACAGTCAGAGAAAAAAGTTGAAAAAAGAATGCAGAGATTATCCATGATAGGAGCCTACTCAAGGCAATGCCATCCAAGCTATCTTTCTCTGAATCACGTCATCTGTCCTTGTGTCCACTTTATCCACTTTGCTTTGTGCTCTGTGCTTTCTTATCTTTGCTAAGTTATAATTGTGCTCTAGGGGTGTATGTGTGTTTGTGTGTGTACACAGTTTTTTGCCATCTTCACAGTCTGTTTCTATCTAATTGTCCATATCTTTAAATATTTTTATTGAATGCTTTTATAATCTTTATCTTATTCTTTTTTAATTAATTAATTTATTTTTGTTACAGATGGTTCTCCTTTTCCCTCCACTGATTCCCCCCTTCTCCTCCCTCCCCGCCCTGTCCCCAGCTTTGTTGTCCATGTCCATTGTTCATGCACACATGCATATAAGTTCTGTGGTTTACCTCTCCCCCCACCCCCTCTTCTGGGGATTGTCAGTCTGTACCCCACTTTCACGTCTCTGGGACTACCCCGTTCCTCAGACTGTTATGTTTATTATATTCCACAAGTAAGTGAGATCATATGATACTTGTCTTTCTCTGTTTGGCTTGTTTCGCTTAGGATAATAGTTTCCAGGTCCCTCCATGTCATCTCAAAGGATAAGAGATCTTTCTTTCTTAACAGCTGCATAGTACTCCATTGTGTTTTCTCTTATTTTTAAATAGGTAACTGAACTGTTTTAGATTGCTCCCTCTTAAAGAAAATGTGCTCATAGTCTGTAACTGATGTTTTCCCCTTGTGGTTAGCCAAAGTGCTTTAATAGAAAAATGTTCTTCTCTTATTGCCTAATATTTTCTTCTGCTCCAAAGTCAGGGTCAGGAAATCTGGTCTATGTGACTTGAATCAGTAATAAGGTTTAGAATAAAGCTATCATTTCACAATTTTTTTCTGGCCCATGTGGTTTTGTGGTTCAGTTAACATTTCAGTTTAAGTAAAATATTGTTCTTTTTATTAAACATATTTACTTCTGTATTTATAAATAAAAACCATATAACTTAACATTTATTGAGACCAGCACTGATTCTAGAGACTGTTATCTAGTTGTGCATCTAACCAACTTCCAATATCAAGAAGTTATTTCAATTTCCCTTTTTTTAACCTTAGACTAACTTTATTTTTAAAATTATAATTGATATACAATGTTATATTAGTTTCAGGTGTAAAGGTTTATGTACCTTATGAAATGAGCACCCTGATAAATCTAGTACCCATCTGACACTATACACAGTTATTTCAATATTATTGTCTATATTCCCTATGCTGTACTTTACATTCCATGACTATTTTATAATAAGCAATTTGTGCTTCTTGATCCCTTTCACCTTAAGTCTAATTTACATTTTATATGGAGAAAATACAACACTTTTAGAGGAAGGTGCAAAAGACATTACAAAAAAAAATCTAAGCTGTTCCTTACCTGAAGCTGATATGTGAGAATTACAGAATCCAGCAGAGGGCAGACGTCCACATGTGGAAGGTGCGGTCAGCTCCGTCTCCTTGTTCTCCCATGTCAGCAGGAGAGAGTGCACAGCAAAACCAACAGAGGTGCTCGCATCCAGGCTTCTTAGAGGCTTTCAAAAGGGAGGAGTGCTGGGCGGTAATAGCAACTATAGCAATTATTTGAAGCCCACACAATGAACATATTGCTTAAACAGATAAAAAGGTAGTTACATGCAGTTGTAATGGGCACTGTGATCTTTCCTAATTTGGGAAGGACCAATTACACCCCTGCCTCTAAAGGAGAGTATGTAGCACACACATTCTGAGCCAAGGCTGTTCTGCCTTCCACAGCCCATCTTGGGGTTGGGGGTGGTGAATACTCTGTATGAACTTGTAAGCCGTACGCTGAGCTCCAGCCCTCACACACTTTTTAATAGATGTGTCAAGATTTGTCTCTGACCCTCCTGGGTTACTCAACTTTTCCCAGTGGCCTCAACTAGGGATAACAATGAGAAAACAAAGTATTTCTTTAACTGAGGTCTAAATTGGTCCAACCTCCAGGGGAAAAAGGAAAGATGATGAGGCCTGGGTCTAAGCTGAAGAATAAGTTGGCCTTAGGCCTTGGAGTAGAATATAAACTATACAAATATAGAGACATGAATCAAAAAGAATATGAACTATAAGCAGAAGTATCAGTATATATTTATAGTAAGGCAGCTGTGTTTTCCCACAGAAGAGATGATACTGGATTTAGAAATGAAAATGTAAAAGCAAAGGGTTCTACAAAGCCAAAGAATAGAAAGACAGAAGTTAGTTATTGCAGAGAACTGATAAAACACTTCAAAGGCTCACTCCATCTGTTTCCTTCTTTCCATAATTCTACACATACATCTATGCCAGGTGTGCTGTGGTAATGTTGGGATTTTTGCATTAAACAACTGTTGCATGAGTTCTTGACTGTCAACCGTTGCCCCACTTGTTTTGTGAATTTGTCCTTTTAATCACTTTTCAGCCAGAAAAAAAACAAATCAAGTATTTAAATCAACATTTTACCACAACTAATAATGTGACTTCAGAATGTATAAATGGAGGGAATGACCTGATCCTGTTTGAGTCTATGGAGATCATCTAGACAGCCCTTCATAAGTTCTGGGTCTCACAGTTTCAGCAGCACATGGGCAAACTACAGTGCATTTCGAAGAAAGCATCTCTGAGGAGCTAAGAAGTACGGAACATGAGCAACAGTGGAAGGAACTGGGATATTTAAATTGCGGAACAAAAAGACTCTATTGGAACAAAGGAAGAGTAATCATTAAAGAGCAATACAGTTTGTCCCATTTAATCCCCAAAGTTCAGAACTAAAAGTCGTCGTTAAAAGTCATAGGGAAACACACTGTAATTCAATATGGAGGCTAACTTTCTTACAGAGAAACCTATGCAGTGATGGACAAGCTGCTTCAGAAGACTCCTTGATAGCATGGATTTTTGTCAGATACAGGCTGGGAAGGAGGTAGAGGGGATTTAAGCATCAGAATCAAATTTCTTTCAATCCTGAAATTCCATGATATACACATCTGCGATGTGTCAAGAAAAGAAGAAAACTGTCCAGGTAACCTCAATGAAATAAAAAAGGTAATGGGAACTAGTAAGGTTAATGAGAACTTGAGGTTCTCATCAACACTGACAAAAATGAATCGTATTTTCCAAGGGTTTCCATTAGTTGACAGCAGACAAAGTTGGGGGCAGGAGGAATTCTGGTTTGGTCAGCAAAGTCCCAGACTTATGCCATGGGACTACAAATAGTCTGACTCTATTAACTGAAGACATTGGTATTTTTTCCTGAAAAGAAAAAATGTGGAATTCTTTTACTCACTCTGTCAAAATGTGAGTGTTTCCCTAGTTTGACCCAAGACTGTGAAGATGGTTTGTATAAGGGTTTTCCGGGAATTTTCCAGCTGAGCAAGAAAAAAATATACGACCACGAGGTGGCAGTAGCACACACAAGTTTTATTTGGTGACTGACATTTGCTTGCAGGGGGAGATGTTTGCCACATGTTTGCCTGTTGTAATTTTGTTAGAAGGTTAGTCGTCATTGGTTAGAAATAACTGAAAGAGTGGAGGACATAGACTACTGGGCTGTGACTCAGAGGAACAGGGGTAGGGGGCCAAATCCAAACTTAATAATATAACAGCTGTATCAGGGTCATCACTTAACCTTTGTGTGCTCAGATTCCCACGGGTAATACAGGGTCAAAACTATTCTTCTCCCTCATGTAATACTGTTGTTGTGAGAGCCTCATGAGTTAGGAAAATTCTTTGAATTTTTGGATCCTTGGTGAATTGTGAACATGGTCTCAATTTAGCTTCAATATAAACATTTCATTGACTCTTGCCTCATTCCATTAGAATAAAAACTTTTTTTTTTTTACCAGACAAGTAAATACATTACTTTTATCCAGAAGAATGAATTTATTATGGAAAATGCAGAAATGATTCTAGAAAAACATTTTTAAGTGTTCTTTTTTAGGGGATGCTTTGTGTTGAGAGGACTAGCAGGTATTAGAACAATTTTTTGAATGAAATCTCTTGTTTCCAAGTGCTCTCTAATGTGATGCCATTGGGATTTTGTTTCTTCATGTATCATTTCTAGTGTGAAAGATGAGCTTGAACTGAGCAGTGCTGCAGAGTCCAGCCTTTTGGACCCCCCCCCCCCCATGTGATAGCATCCAAACCCCTGCCGGGAGTTATTCTGGTTTGACTGAATCTCTTCCACAGTCCCTAATCCTCTCTCTCTTGCCCAGCTTCCCTTAGCCCTTTCCGCAGTTGTTCACAGAAGGCATTCCACTCGACCCTCCCTTGAGATAAGTAGAAGTAGTCTTCCTTCTGCAGCCACCGCCGATCAATACGTTCCAGAAACAGGAGCAGAAGGCAAGCAGTCCCAGGTTTGGCCACCAAGTTGTAGGTGGCAATCCTTAACTCCAGATGGCACCAGGGACTTCCCAGGGCCTGGCAGCTGAGCACACAGAGGTGGCTCTGCTGCTCTCCATGCTGGTCGCAGTAGCATCCATCCTGTCCGGCCCAACCCCAAGGTCCCTCTCAGGCAGGCAGAGCCTCAAACCCTCACCCTCTGGAAGAGGCTTCTCCAGGGCAGGAACAGTTCTCCCAGAACCCAGGCTCGGTCCTGCTCACAATAGGATACAAAGACATCATAGTGGAATTGATTTCTGGGGTGCTTCCCACCCAATTTCCACCACCAGGCATGAAATAGGGTCCGAAGGTGGTGAAGCCAGGGCCATTTAGGACAGGTAGGCAGTGCAAGGAAGGTCAGCAGGAGCACCAGAATGAAGCTGGTTAGAAAGCCCTGAAGCTCAGGATCATGTGAGCAGTGATCAGAAAGGAAGGAGAGCAAAGGCGTCTGGGAGTAGTCAGAGGAATTGGCCTTGCAGATGGATTTCTCCAGCCCATACACAAAGGTGCTCGGGGCCCGTGTTGCCCAAGGCCCCACCCAAGAGTTTTCACACTGGCAGATAAAGGTGATATCTGAGAAATAAACATATTGCGGCATCTGAGGGATTAATTCCTGGAGGCTGCTGTCCAGCCCCAAGGTCCATTCAGAGTTGAGCAGCAGCAGCCGAAGGTGGTCCAAGCCCCTGAAGCTGGAGATGGAGAGGTACCCAAGGTTCAGGTTGCTCAATGCCAGTACCTGTAACTGAGGCAGCTCCTTCAGTAGCATCTCCAGCTGCACTGATATTTTGTTATAGAGGAAATCCAAGTCCCCCGCTCTAGCACTCTCAGCCTGGGCATCCCAAATAGATACAGATTTCTGCACCACTATGATCAGACCAGAAGTGTGAGTGCTCCAGGAGAGGAAGCTGTGGGAAGACTCTCCGCATAGAGAAAATGTAGGGGCTGCAGCCTCGTAGAGTAAGGTGATGCAGGGAAGGGAAATGAAGTGTGGTGTTGTCTGGTCCCAACACTATGTACTTAGTTTGTAAGGTAAGGTTCTCCAGGAACAAGAAGGGTTCTCCACTAGGAACCCTAAACATTATGGAACTCTCTGCCCGTAACTCCAAGCTGAGCAGTGTTGGAGGCCAGGGAGGATAGATGTTCAGCATCTCAGAAGAACCCAGTTGCAGATGGCTCAGCTTCTGGGGCCCCTGAAGATATCTGCCTGAGATATACTGTAAGTGGGTGCCCGGGAGGTTCAGTGAAGTAAGGGCAGGAAGAGAGGAGAAAGAGCCTGGCTTTAGCATCTTAATTTGGTTCCAACTCAGGTCTAGGGTCTTCATCCACCTCAGTCCTTCCAGGCTCTCACTGGATAAGTTGCAGATGTTGTTACTACGCAACCAGAGCTCCTGGAGTTGAGGAAGAGAGGAGAAGGCCCTGTGGGGCAGAACACAGAGCTCAATGTGGGACAGATCAAGCACTCTCAGATTTGAGCTGACCAGCCCTTCTGGGAGCGCCAAGGTTGGGCCCAGCTTATCACTGACAGGTTGAGTCTCTGAGGCTGGGGCAAGGCACTCAGAAAATTGGAGGAATGTAACTGAAGGCCATTGCATGAAGGCTGAGGAGTTCCAGGGAGCGGAAACTTAGGAGATCCCCATCCTCTAGGTTCTGGGTTTGGTTCCTCCCAAGGTCAAGTGCACGAAGCTCAAAGTAACCTGTCACATTCCCAGGCCGTTTTTCTGCACCTGTTCCCACAAGGTAGAGGGAGTCCAAGTGGAGCAGATCTGAGCCTAGGAGGTCTAATGCATTTAGTGGGGTGCCATCCAATCTCAGGGAATGGAGCTGGAGGCCATGCAGAGCTCGGCCACCCAACCTGCTCAGCTGCAGGTTGGCAGACAGATCCAGCACCTCCAGGAAGGAGGTCCGTGGGCTGGGGCTGGTTGCAGGAGAGGAGCCAGAGACAAGGTTTGGGAAGAGCCCTTGCAATTCCTTCAGTTCTGTCAGACAGCTGTGCCTCAGGGTCAGACGACCAAGGCTGATGGGCAACTGGACGTTCTGGCTACAATTCAGGCAGGAGCCATGGAAGGAAAGGGTGTTGAGGGATTTGAGGGGCTCCAGGGCATCTGGAGGGAGAAACAGACTCAAGAAACAGGGAGCATGATGCTCAAAGGAAAGATCCTGCAGTTGGTCCAGTCCTTGAAATGTCTCAGATATAATCCCTCAGAAACTATAGTGTGGGAAAGTGTCCAAAGGCATCAGCTGGCAGGATGGGAACTGTACCCTGGAGGCATAGCACCTCTGTGTCCTGGGGCACTTCTCTTAGGGTTTGAGCCAGGTCATTCACATTGAAGCATGATGCAAAAAGGTGCAGTCCTGGGGCCAAGGGACAGAACGGGATGTAATAGGAGATGTTAGGCCACAGGGAGCTATCTCCTATGGTGCAGCTGGGAGCAGTCCAGGCCCAGCTCATCAAGCCAAGGCTCATCAAGGCCAGCAGTAAGAGAGAGAGGAGAGTGGAGGGGAACAGAGGTCTTTCCATCCTTGGTCCTGCTTCTAAGGAAAGGGGGGAAAGCAGAGGAATGTTAAATCCTGCAAAAGCCAACAATCCCAGGACTGGGCCTTCTGATACTCACGACACACAATGTGTTGTGAAACATACTCAAGAAACTGGAAAGTATCATCCTAAGTGAAACAAGCCAAACAGAGAAAGACAAATTTCATATGATCTCACTGATTTGTGGAATATAATGAACATAACAGTTTGAGGACAATCCCCTAAGGAGTGGGGAGGTGGGAGAGGGATGAACCACAGAACTTATATGCATGTATGCATGAACAGTGGACATGGACAACAATCTGGGGAAGGGGCAGGGAGGGAAGGGGGAGGGGGGAATCAGTGGGGGAAAAAAGGAGAATCATTTGTAACAAAAATTAATCAATTAAAAAAAAAAAAAAAAAAGAAACAGTCCTGTGATTACAATATAAGGGAGACATTTGGCCAGCAGGGGGCTCAAGTTGTGTGCACCCAGATGTGCCTCCCTGCAGACAGAAACAGAGACGGACCAGCAAGAAGAGCCTGCAACGTTCCAGAGATCTCAGCTGAGAAATTAGTGACACCCCCAGTTCTCCTTCTGGGGATGATCAGCTCAGGTTTCTACTCCTTTGGAGGGGAGCTGTGAGCTATGAATGGGCTACTCCCAAGACCAGGCAGCAATTTACTTATCACAAAACAGACTGGAGGAGAAACAAATGGTAATGATACAAACATAATAAGACCTGAACATATGTTCTTATTTGATCCTTAGTCGTGTGATATATGTGGGCCTAACTTGATCCTTATTTTACTCATGAGGCAATTGACTGTCAAAGAAGTTAAATGAATTGCCTGGGGTCACAGAGGTAAAAGCGGCAGAGTTGTGACTGCAGCCCAGGTATTCTGCCTCCAAGGCTGATGGTCTTTGCACCACAAAAGTCCTCAGGTAGGACTAGAGACACTCTAAGTGAATTCTACTGTTGAGATTATGTTCAATTTATAAGGATAGACTTAAAAGTTAGTTCAGGGAACATAGAAAGAAAGTAGAGAAAGTGGATGGGAAGTAGTAAAAGGAAAAAACAAAGCCGTGATACTTTTGTGTTCAGAACACAGTGCAGAGGTAGGAGGTCCCATTGACACTTTCTCACCACTGACTTATTCCTTTCCAATGGTAAGACCTCCCATCTCATCACCCAGTGTGAAATGAGCAGTAATAATATGTCTGTGATCTAGGTCTCTGAAAGATGATAAGGGACAGCAGAGCCCTGGCTGGTGTGGCTCAGTGGCTAGCGTGTCGGCCGGTTTGATTCCCAGTCAAGGGCAGGTACCTGGGTTGCAGGTTCAATCTCAGGCCCTGGTTGGGGCATGTGTGGGAGACAACCAATCCATGTGTCTCTCTCACATCGATGTTTCAATGTCTCTCTCTCTCTCCCTCTGTCCCTTCCTCTCTCTATAAAAAATCAATGAAAAAAAATATCGTCAGGTGAGGATTAACAAAAGAAAAAAAAAACAAAGAAAGAGGTAGGAGAGCAGACTGGTCCTCTGGGGGAGCTAGAGGACAGTTAACCATAATGAAGGGCACTGTCCTCCTGACGGGTTTGGGATTATTCAGCAATTCGTGCCTTTGGGCAAAGGAGGATTTGGTATTAGAAGGCACGTACTTTTCTCTTCCCCTTGAGTTTGCTGTGAGGATAAGCTGCCTGGGTGATCACATAGAGCTGCCTTTCCTCAAGTCCTAGTCCTTCCGCTGCTGGAGCATCATAGCTGGATATGCCTCAGACTTCGGTGAGAAGCCCAGAGGAGGCCCGAGAAGAGCCTGGGAGACGGTGATCTGGGTGACTTGACCTTGCAAAACGATCAGTCTCATTGTGGATGTCACTCAATATATTCAAATGCTGCATCATTCTATGTCCATGGCTATACTGGAATTTAGGAAAGGCTGTTTCTTTCTACTGAGCCCACACTGCAGTCCCCGTCTTGTTTAATAGCATACCCCGTTACTCTTGAACTGGCCTCTCTATTTTAGTATTCAGGGAGACATTAGGGTCTGGAATAGGTGTCAGCAGAAGAAGACACAATGTCCTTGGGACAGAGATCTTAGGAACACAGGACAATTTTGAGCTGTGGAGTGGTCTAGCTTTGGTGGTATTACTCCAGGTGTCACTTAGACTGTGCACCATGACATTTCCTCATTTGGCCAGTTCGACTGTGACAAACTTAATTTTTATTATTATTATTATTTTATTAATTAATTTTTGTTACAGGTGTTTCTCCTCCCCCCACCCTGATTCCCCCCTCCCCCTCCCTGCCTTGTCCCCAGCTTTGTTGTCCATGTCCATTGTTCATGCATACATGCATAGAAGTTCTGTGGTTTATCTCTCCCCCACCACCCCCTCTTCTGGGGATTGTCAGTCTGTACCCCACTTCCACGTCTCTGGAACTACCCCATTCCTCAGACTGTTATGTTCATTATATTCCACCAATAAGTGAGATCATATGATACTTGTCTTTCTCTGTTTGGCTTGTTTTGCTTAGGATAATACTTTCCAGGTCCCTCCATGTCCTCTCAAAGGATAAGAGTTCTTTCTTTCTTTCTTTTTTTTTTTTTATCCTCACCCGAGGACATTTTTCCATTTTTTGTTCAGGTAGAGTGGGAGGGAGAGAGAGGAACAGAGAGAGAGAGAGAAACATCGATGTGAAAGGAACACATCGAGTGGCTGCCACCCGCACAACCGACCAGGGCCGGGGACAAACTGCAACCGAGGTACGCGCCCTTAGCGGGAACCGAACCCGGGTTTCTCAGGACCGCAGGCCGACGCTCTAACCGCTGAGCCAAACCAGCCAGGGCAAGTTCTTTCTTTCTTACAGCTGTGTAATACTCCATACCACTGCTTTTTTATCCATTCGTCTACTGATGGACACTTGGGCTGTTTCCAGATCTTAGCTATTGTAAATAGTGCTGCTACAAACATGGGGGTACATATATTGTTTCTGATTGATGTTTCAGGTTTCTTAGGGTATATTCCTGGAAGTGGGATCACTGGGTCAAATGGAAGTTCAATATTTAATTTATTGAGGTAACACCATATTGTTTTCCATAGTGGCTGCACCAGTCTGCATTCCCACCAGCAGTGTACTAGAGTCCCCTTTTCTCCACACCCTCGCCAACACTTGTTGTTTGACGATTTGTTGATGGCGGCCATTCTGACAGGTGTGAGGTGATACCTCATTGTTGTTTTAATTTGCATCTCTCTGATAATTAGTGATGTTGAGCATTTCTTCATATGTCTCTTAGCCATTTGTATCTCCTATTTGGAGAGGTGTCTATTTAGTTCCTCTGATCATTTTTTAATTGGGTTCTTTGTCTTCCTTTTGTTGAGTTGTATGAGCACTCTATATATATTGGAAATTAACCCCTTATCTGATATATCACTGGCAATTATGCTGTCCCATACAGTGGGTAGCCTTTCCATCTTGATGATTGTATCTTTCACTGTGCAGAAGCTTTTAAGTTTGATGTAGTCCCATGTGTTCATTTTCTCCTTTGTTTCAGTTGCCCTAGGTGATATATCAATGAAAATTCTCCTGCGTATGATGTCTGAAATTTTGTTGCCTACAGTTTCTTCTAGGATTTTTATGGATTCAGGGGTCACATTTAAGTCTTTTATCCATTTTGAGTTTATTTTTGTGTAGGGTGTAAGTTGATGGTCTAGTTTCATTTTTCTGCATGTAGCTGTCCAATTTTCCCAGCAACATTTATTAAAGAGGCTGTCCTTACTCCACTGTATGCTCTTGCCACCTTTGTCAAATATTAATTGAGCACATTGCCTTGGGTCCATTTCTGGGTTCTCTGTTCTGTTCCACTTGTCTATATGCCTGTTCTTGTGCCAGTACCAGGCTGTTTTGATTACAGTGGCTTTGTAGAATAACCTGAAATCTGGTAATGTGATCCCTCCAACTTTGTTCTTCTTTTTCAAGATTGCTGTGGCTATTCGAGGTCATTTTTGGTTCCACATGAAGTTTTGAAGTACTTGTTCTAATTCTGTGAAGTATGCTGTTGGTATTTTGATGGGGATTGCATTGAATCTATAGATTGCTTTGGGTAATATGGACATTTTAATGATGTTAATTCTTCCAATCCATGAACAAGGTATGTGCTTCCACTTTTTTATATCTTCCTCTATTTCTTTTTTCAATGACCTGTAGTTTTCTGCGAGTAGGTCCTTTATTTCTTTGGTTAGGTTTATTCCTAGGTATCTTAATTTTTTTGCTGCAATGGTAAATGGGATTGTTTTCTTAATTTCTCTTTCTGTGAGTTCATCATTGGTGTATAAGAATGCCATCGATTTCTTGATGTTAATTTTGTATCCTGCTACTTTTCCAAGTTCATTTATTAAGTCAAGTAAATTTTTGGTGGAGTCTTTGGGGTTTTCTACGTATAGAATCATGTCATCTGCAAATAATGATAGTTTCACTTCCTCCTTTCCAATTTGGATCCCTTTTATTTTTTCTTCCTGTGTGATTGCTGTGGCTAAGACTTCCAGTATTATGTTAAATAAGAGTGGCGAAAGTGGGCATCCTTGCCTTGTTCCTGTTTGTAAGGAAAATGCTTTTAGTTTTTGCCCATTGAGTATGATGTTGGCTGTAAGTCTTTCATATATGGCCTTTATTATGTCGATATATGATCCCTCTGTTCCCACATTGCTGAGCATTTTTATCAGAAATGGATGCTGGATTTTGTCGAAGGCTTTTTCAGCATCTATTGATATGATCATGTGGTTTTTATTCTTCATTTTATTTATGTAGTGTACTACGTTTATTGATTTGTGAATTTTGTACCAGCCTTGCATCCCTGGGGTGAATCCCACTTGGTCATGGTAGATAAGTTTTTTTGGTGTATTGCTGGATCCGATTTGCTAGTATTTTGTTCAGGATTTTGGCGTCTATGTTCATCAGGGATATTGGCCTGTAGTTTTCTTTCTCTGTATGTTGTTTTCTGGTTTTGG